ACCGTGCCTGGCATTCCACCCACACAGCTGCCCTGTTGCATCCAGCTGGGGGCTGCGGCTCCAGCTGCCGAGGCGGTGCCCAGGCTGGCGTGTCGCCTGCCAGCTGGCTGCGGGGTGCAGGCTACTGCCCTGAGGCATTCGCTTCCCATCGCACCCCCGTTCACTGCCTCCCCTGCCTGCCTGCTGCTTCCCTGTGCCGCCCTGCCACAGGAAAACTCTGGCCCTCTACCTGTCCTGCCTGGCAGACACGGCGGTTGCCCCGGCCGCCGGTGGCGGCTCCTCCGCAGTCGCTGCCGCCGCCGCAGCAGCAGGCGCGGCCGCCAGCCCCGCCCCCGAGGCGGCTCGCTCTGCGCTGGATGCGCTGCAAGCCGCTGCCGCCTTCTTCGCCGCGCCCGCGCAGCAGCAGCAGCAGAGCAGGGTGTTTGACGGCTTTGACAGGCTGGCCAGGTGTGTGCAGTGTTGTGTGGGTGGAGGGCCTTTGAGGTGGTGTGTGTGTGTGTGTTTGTGTGTGCGCGCGGGCTCCAGGGCGGCGCTGCGGCGCCGGCCCCCTGAGTTGGCCAGGCCTGTCCAGCCGGCCGGCTGGCTGGGAGGCGGATCTGTCTCGGCTGCGCCCCACCGCTGCCAGCAGCGCAAGGCCCCTGCCTGGGCCTGTCTCCCGGCTGGGAGCCGGGGCTAGCAGGCCGCCTCCCGACCGATTGATTGATTGATTGATTGATTGATTGATTGATTGATTGATTCAGGTCACCCGCCAGCGTGGCGTAGCCCTTACCACCTGCCTGCCCTGCTGCCTGCCCTGCCTGCCTGCCCTCACGCAGAGGCCATTACCTGCTGGCGCTGATGGCCTGCCTGCGTGCCCGCTGCCCTCTGGAGCAGGCCGGGGCGGCGGCGGGGCCGCCGGGCTCCTCCCCGACACCTCTCTCCGCTGCCGCCGGCACTGCGGCGGCAGCCATGCTGGGCTCGGAAGGCAGCGAGCCTCAGGCCTTCTCCGTGCTGCCTGCGTGGGCGGCGGCGGCGGCGGCAGGAGCAGCGGCGCCGGGGCCTGCGGTGGCGGCGACGGCGGCGGCAGCAGCGGGAGAGCAGCAGACGCCCGGGGCCGGCCTCGCCGCCGCGGCGCCTGGCGGCGCGCCGCCCCCGGGCCTGGCTACCGGCAGGCCTTATATGGGCCAGGCGGCGACCCCTCACGGCGCCGGTACTGCGGCGGCGGGCGGCGGCTCCTGGCGCGGCCTGCCCACCCCCGCCACGGCCGGGCGGCAGCAGCTGGCGGCGCAGCTGCTGCGGGCGGCCGCCGGGCTGGATGCGGCGCAGGTGGGGCCCTGGCTGGCCAAGGCGCACCAGGTGGGTGCGGCGGCCTGTACTGCTGGCCGGTACTGCCTGCCGGTGCTGCCTGTCGGTGCCGCCGTGGCTGCCGCCCGCCGTGCCTGCCTGCCTGCTGGCCTTACGCCTCCGCCCATTGCTGGCATGGCTTGTGTGGGTGGGTGGGTGGCTTCTGCGCAGAGCTGAGGGGCGCTGTTTGCCCCCTGTGGCCTCATTCCGCCCACAGAACACAAACAAACGAATCACACCCACCACACACAGACACTCACCGCAACACACACACTCTACCTCTTACCCGCAGGTCTTCACCGACCTGTCGCTGCACACAGAGGCGGAGGACAGGTGGCGGGGGCTGGCGCTGCCCGCGATGCAGGAGGCGCTGCGGTGGGTGGGCACGCCGCCTGCTGACGTGGCACGCCTGCTTAGCTGGCACGCTACCGACCTGGCATGCCGCTGACCTGGCGCACGCCGCCACCCCTCAGCCCCTCGGCGCCTGCTCTGCTCTGTTCTGCCCGGCTCTGCTGCGTGCGCTGCCCTTGACGCTGGCAGCAAGTGCGCCCCTGCTTCTCTCACCCCCTGCCTCCTCCCTGTGTGTGTGTGTGTGCGCGCCAACCTGTACAGTACCAGCAGCAGCCGGGTGGCGGCCGACCTGGAGCTGCGCCAGCTGTGCGAGGTGCGGCAGGGCAGCCAGGGCGCCGAGGTGCTGCGCAGGCTGTTCAGGTGGGTCGGGGTGGGCTGTGTCGTGCTGTTGGTCTGTGGGGGGCTGTGCTGCCTGTGGGGGGGGCTGGCCTTTGGGGGGCCAGCCGGCGCCTGGGTTGCAGCTAGCCTGCTGCAGCCTGTGGCGAGCATGGGCGGGCCTTGTTCCAGCCCGAGGCAGCCAGCAGCAGCCGCGCCCTTGCTGCCTGCACCTTTTGAGCTGCTGCGCGCACACGTGTGGCCCAATGCCGACCTGTGCTGTGCCCCCTGCGCCTCTTGCCCCTGCGCCTGCTCCCTCCCCCCCTCCCCCCCTGCCGCAGCCTGTATGCCGGCCTGTATGTGCACCTGCTGCAGCACCAGGGAGACGCAGAAAGGCTGCTGCAGCTGCTGGTGGCCATGAAGAAGCGGTGTGTGTGTGTGGTGGCGGTGGTGTGGTGTGTGTGGTGTGGGTGGGGGGGAAAGCCCTTTTCCATGATGGTGAGTGCATGGGTGGGCTGTGCAAGCCCCCAGCGGGCTGTCGGCTGCGCACCGAGCGCAACACTTTGCTCAGTGGTGCGTCTGCTGCCGCGGCGCACCGACCCACCGCTGCCCTGCTGCCCCGGCGCCTGCCCCGGCGCCCGCCCGGTTGGCCGCAGGGTGAAGAGCTTTGGCGCCGCGGAGGCCAAGCAGGCGCGCTGGCTGCGGCGCCAGGCGCTGGTGCTATGCGATGCGCTGCTGGGAACGCTGGGCGCCAGCCTGGCGGTCGTCGAGCGGGAGGCGGGCTCCCTGGCTGCTGGGCGGGAAGCGGCGGCGGGGGCAGGGGCTGGGGCAGGCGCCACAGGGGCAGAGGCGATGGATGTGGAAGTGGAGCGGGCGCCAGCAGATCGGCCGGGGCAGCAGCAGGAGCAGGCGCCGGGCCCCGAGGCGGCGGAAGCAGGAGCGGAGGCGCAGTCTCCGAGCACGGGAGCCCAGCAGCCAGGGCAGCAGCCAGGGCAGGAGCAGGAGGGCGGCGGCGACGCCGTCGCCGCCTCGCCGCCCGCGCCCGGCTCTGCCGCGGCAGCAGCCCAGCGGCAGGCGGCTGGGGCGACCCCGGCTGGTGCCGGCCTGCCGCGGCGCGGCGCCACCCCCGGCACAGACCTGCGAGCGGTGCTGGGCACACCCGGGGCGCTGCCGTGTGCTGAGCGTCAGCAGCTGCTGGAGCGGGGAGCGGCGCTGCTGCTGCTGGCGCACTCTTTTTGGAAGGATGTGGCCCGCTGGCTGCAGGCAAGTGGCGGGGCGTCTAGCCGGGTGGCTGCAGCTATGGAGTGGGGCTGGAGCAGGGAGGCTGGAGCAGCAGCTCCCAACAGCCCCTGGCTGGCGGGGCAGCCACTCGCCTGCTTGTCGTGTATTGTTCAAGAGCAAGGCTGTGAGGATGTGCCATGCTGTGACCACATGCTGTGCTCATGCTGTGCCGCAGGTCGTGGCGGGCGGCACCGCGGCCGGCGGCGCTCGCGAGGAGCTGCGGGGGCTGGGCATCAGCGGCGAGGAGCTGGTGCTCAGGTGGGGCTGTGGCGCTGGCAGCAGTGGCAACAGGGGGGGTGAGCTAGCTAGGCAGCAGTGGCAAGAGGGAGGAGAGCTAGCTAGGAAGGGGCACGAGCAGCTGGTCTTTCAAGAGGGGGAACTTGCGGGGTGTGCGGAGCGCCTCAGCGGGGGGCTCCCAGCAGCTGGCACAAGGAAAGCTGGACCGAGGATGCAAGGGGGCAGCGCCGCGCGGCGCCTGCGGCGCCTGGTTGCACCCTCTGCGGTCCCACCTCGCCTCTTCCATCCAGTCCCCCCTGCACTGGACCTGTCCCCCTGGTGGGTGTGTGTGGTGCAGGGCGTACCGCCTCCACCTGACCCTGGCACAGCCGGCCGCCGCCGCCGCCGCCGCCCAGGCGGGGCTGAGCCGCGCCGAGCAGCTCAAGGCGGCTGACGAGGCGGTGAAGCAGCAGCGGCGGCAGTCCAGGCAGGCGGGCGCCGCGGCCAGGCAGGCGGCGGCCGCAGGTGCGGCGCTGCCTGCCATTGCAGAGGGCGCGGAGCAGCGGGCGGCGGGCGGGGCGGGGCACAAGCGCGGCGCCACCGCGGCACCAGAAGACGGCCCTCTGCGCAGCACCCGCAAGCGGGGGCGCAGCGGCACAGCAGACCCCGACGACCGCTCGCTGCGGCAGCAGGAAGGGGCACCTGGGCGGCAGATGGGATGATGCCGCAGGCTGATGCGGCTGGGCAGGTGGCAGCCAGCGCGAGGTGGATGTGTTTCCTGATGTGTAAGCAAATGTCTGTCCATGTAGGCGCCTCGGTGGCGGCCATGGAGTGCCGCCGCCCAAATCAAAGAGTGGGAACCATCAACGTTGGTGGTTCCCACTCTTAAGGTTCGCTCTGCGGCGGCTGGGTGGCGGCGGCACCTCACCCCAACGTCCGGGGCCGCCCTGCTGCCCCTTTGCCCAGCGCGCCAGCGCACCCCACGCGCCGTCCACGGACAGGCTGCGTCAGCCGGTGCGCAAAGCGGCCGCCCGGCTGCGGTTTGAATTTTGGCAGTACAGCTGCTGCTGGCACAATCAGGATCGGCAATCCAGGGCTAATCCCGAGAGCTTGCTTTCGTCCGCCCGCTGACTGCGTTATCGGCGTTGTCACGCACCTGTGGCCGCCACAGGCTGGGGGGCAACGCGCAAGGGCAGATCGCGAGGAGCGTCCTCCCCAGGTTCGCCCGGCGCCCAGTCTGTGGCTTCTGCGGTGTGGCTGGCATCCTTTCGGCCGCGGTGTTGTAGGACCGCTCGGTAGGGCCAGCGGCGGGGGAGGGAGCAGCCGCGGCGGCGGCGGCAAAGGGGGCAAGGCGGGTGGCGGCACGGTGCTCAACCGCAGGGGCAGCCAGGAGGGCCGTTGCGGCGCGCACGGTTAGAGCCGCAAGGGGGACAGGGCGGCCATCGGTGGCGTCACACATGTGTTTGGCGGGCGAACATATGTATGTGTTCGCCAACCGCTCTTAAGTTTGTGTGCCCTTTCTCAGTCCTGCACCATTCTGCGCCGCTGCCCCTGCTAGCTGGTCAAGCAGCCCACAGCAGCGCAATCAGGCAGCAATGCGCGTCGTGACGTCGACGCACTGGGGTGCAGCGCTTTTTAAATCATTGGCCACCCTCTGCCTGTTCGCTCTCGTGCTGCATCCTTCAGGTTTCGACACTTGCCACTGCATGCAACCGTCATGTGCATACAGGGCTGCAATGCTCGGCTTCCCCCCAGTTGGTTGGTTGGGGGCAGCAAGCTTCACGTTGCACCATGACTTTGACATTGCAGACTGTGACATGACATCCTTCTCTTGTGCAGGCGCCCTGGGGAGGTCTGTTGCAGGCCAGGGGCCTCTCACGCCAGCGCCTGCGCTGCTGATCGGGGATGATTAGCGGCTGCGCTGCAATCAGGGATGATCAAGGACAAGGCGACGGTACGAGGCGGCGTCGGCGCCACCTGGCACCACTTGGATGTGTTTCCTGATGTGTAAGAAAATCTCTGTCCATGTAGGCGCCTCGGGGGCAGCCATGGAGTGCCGCTCCCCAATCAGAGAGTGGTAGCCACCAGCGGCGGTTGCAGCCCCAGCTCCATGGGGGTGCCCATTTTGTTCTCCTCTTACATTGTTGCAGGTCTTGAGGGTTCGAGGTGGATAGGGGCCCGGTACCGCCTCCTGTGGTAGCTTCCCTGCTGAGCGTGCTGAGCATGTGTTGCCCGCTGATGTGGCACCTCCCCCGATTCGTCTGGCTCATCAGGCACGCTCTCTCCCGCGATCCCTCCCTTTCCTTCGCCTTTCAGAGTCTCTAAGGCTTCTATTTCTCCCCTCCCGCACCCCGCAGCTGCCGCAAATTTAAAATTATGAACCAACCTGTCATCCTTTATGCCTTAGAACGGCGCCAAAACGGCGCCAAGAATGTGTTTCTCACTAAGTCAGATGTAGAGGGCATCATCCGGATCAAGCAGGGCGACCAGCAGGCGCCCTCAGGCCGGCGGCGGCGGGGTGCGGGAGGGGGGGCGGCAGTGCAGGGCGGCGCCAAGAACTACAGCAAGAAGGTGCTGCAGTTCTTCCAGGTGCTGAAGGGCGCTGGCGGTCAGGACATCCTGTGCCGCTGCGTCAAGCGCAGCGGAGAGTGGCGGTGGTGCCCCGTGGTGCCGCTCGAGGAGCTGCCCCGAGTGATCAAGGAGCACCACGAGCGGGCGACTGGCTTCAGCGGTGTGGAGAAGCTGTACACACATGTGAGTGATACAAGGGGTGCAATGATGCCGCCAGACCAACTGGAGAGTGCTCTGCATCAGGCAGCAACCGGATGCATCGCAGCAAGCACGGGGGGTGCGGCACGGCCAAGGTGGCGCTGCCCTCCTCTCCATCTATCCCTCCTTCCCTCCCTCACGCCGCGCACTCCCCTGGTCCTCCTTTGCTGCTCTGCTGCCTTTCCTGCAGCTGGCCT